CAAATCATAAATAATTAAAGTCTAATTTATAATTTCTTAAATTAATTTCAAAGGGAAATTCTCTTTTAATAATGGTGCTAAATTACTAATACTTAAAATATTATAATAAAAATAATTTAGCAAATTATATTATTAACCAATTTAATATAATTCGTATTTTTCTTAACTATTACCTATCTGATCTATTAAAAACTACAAATTATCAAACTGATTATAATCATAATATTAAATATTTTATTAATTAATGATTTATTTTAACTTCTATTTATTAATTTCTAAAAAATCAATAAAAAACTTAAAATACTTAATTAAAAAACATTAAATTTAATCTTAATATTGAGCGATAATATATTATTCATTTAATTATATAAAAAACTAAGTCTATATAAAATGATAATTATTTAAAACAGAAAAACCATTTAAATATTTAAAAATAAAATTAATTGTTTTTTCTAAATAATTTGAATTATGCTAATCATCATTTTTCAAATCTTTTTTTTTAAACAAAAAATAAATGTTATTAATTATTATGTTTTTTTATTTTACATTAAAACATATTTACGGATAAAATATTAAAAGGTTAAATAAATAAAGTTGATCCTTTTTATTAAATAAATCTAATAATAGATCTTGTATAGGCATAGTCTTTATAAGGATAATCTTTTAAATAATTAAATAAATCATTAATAAAATGCTTATCGTAAATATATAAACTTATTTAATTTAAATATTATAAACAAAATTAAGAATAAAGGTTTTCTATATCTTGTTAAAATTTTTAAGGAAAATTTTAATTATCAGAATTTGTAAAAAGTATAATTAAAATTTAAATAATTATTTATTAATTATTTACATACTTAAAAATTAATTACATCATTTAATAAGTAAAATATTAATCTTAAAAGTAAAGTATATAAAAATCTTGCAAAAAAAACTTAATTAAAATTTCTTCAAATTTAAAAATTTAATTTATATCTAAAATGATTTAATTAACATTAATATTTTATAAAATAAAATAAATAAAAAAATATCCATAAGGGCAATCTAATATATATATATATATATATATATATATATATATATATATATATATATATATTTATATATATATATATTTATATATATTTTTATTTACTTTTCTATATGTAGTTTCTATAAGCATAATCAATTAAATTTTAAAAAGTATTTTTTTATTATATGATAATCTCATAAATTTAATTTTAATTATATTTTTTACAAACAAAACATTATTAAAAGTTTAATTAGTTTAAATATTATTTATCTTCTCTATCAAGTTCAAAAATATTCTAAATAAGATTAGCTATTTCATTTTAAAATAAATTCGATTTTAATGACAAAATAACCATTAAATTTTTATATTTATTAAATAAAATATCAATAAATAACTATTTTATTTCCAAAATATTTTCTTATGTATAAAACTCCATTTTATCTATTATGTCATAAATATACAAAAACTAATCCATTTTTTAAAAGGAACCAAAAAATTATTTACATATTAAATAATAAACGAAGAATCAATAATATTATGACCTAATAATCTTTAACAATATTAAGTTTTATTAATTTTCATTATTTCCGGAATAAAAAATTCTACTATAAAATCTTAATTAGACTAGATTTTTTAAAAATCAATAAAATAAATAGATGAAATAAAATAAGTAATTTGTATATATATACTATTTTTTAAATATATTAATATACTATTCTCTAAACTCGCCAATAAAAAGGCTTACATTAAACACAAAAAGAACTTGTTTTCTTATGAAAAAACAAAGGAAAATTTCCTTGAAATTAATTAGCTTATTTATTATTTCGAAAGTAGTTTAAAGAAGTCCTTTTATTATAAATTTTCATCTATATTTTTATATTTTTTTAAATAAATATCTGATATATAATCATTTTCATCAAAAACTTTATATTTAATTAATTTGTTTGAAAATGCTTTTTTTGTTTTTCTAAACTAAAAAACTCCGGAATAAAATTCCCTATAGACTACATATATTATAAACTTTAATCATTAAAAATGTTAAACAACTATATATAATATTCTTAAAAATTTTAATTCAATTCTTATATATTACTATTATATTCATTAATTTGTTTTAAATATTAAATATCTTTCCATTTTGAAAATGAATAAATATATTTGAAAATAACATAATGCAGTTTTATACTTTCAGTTTAAAGAATTGCTAAAAATAAATTGTTCTCTCTTATTAATAATTTATTATTAAATTTACAATCACCTATTATACATAAATTATATTCATCTTTATTCAATATTAATTGAATTTCACTTAATAAATTTAAGCTATTATATAGATTTTATTCTATTTATTACATTTTATCTTCCTTTTTTCCTATTATAGCGAAATAAATATCAAGGCTTTTTTCGACTAAAATTTGTGCTTGTTCTTATATTGTACCGATTTCTATGATTTTTTCTTGATTGTATTTTAAAGTAAGTCTTTAATCAAGCAAAACTTAAAATTTTTCGTTTACAAATTCGAAAGTAAGGTCTTTATCTTCTGTAAAATATTAATTAGAGATGTTTATATACTTTTTGTTTATTTTTAAAATAAATTATTTAAATTAATAATAGTAAATAATTGAAAAAAAAAATACTTTTTAATGGAAATGTTTCAACGAATTATAAAATTATTAATTTTTTAAAGAGATAAAGTTCATAAATATAATTTATTTTTAAGAGATATAGTGATAAAAATTAAAATATAAATTTTTAAATGAAAAAAATAGTATATTATAATTAATAAAATAATTAAATTTATATGAAAATAATTATATATAGATATTTATATTAATTATAAATCATATATTAATTATATCATATCATATAAATATTTTATTTTGCTTTACATAAATAATATATTATAAAATTAAAATAATTAATACAAAAATTTAAATATATATAAAATATAAAAATATAAATATATATATATATATATATATATATATATATATATATATTATTATTTACATATTATTTTTTAAAATATATACACATATATTATTTATATCTATGCATATTTTTAATATAAAGAATATTATTTATTTTTTTTATATATTTATAATAAATTTTTTTATTAAAAAATAAAATATTATATATTTTCGAAAATTCAAAATACTAAACAAAAACTATCTTCCTATTCTTAATTATCAATTTATTTTTCATTTAAAATATTAAAAACTTCATATTTATACTTTTATATATCAATTTTATTAATTTTTTTTTTATAACCAATTTCTTTGATTAATTTTTACCCTATAAACCTCTTACATTGCGCCGAATGTAAATTTTTTATTAAAAACTTTACTTAATTATTATTTAAATTTCCGAAAACGGTTAATATTAGTTAATTTTTTGCCAAAACATTAACAAAAGGTTACCTTCCTTCTCCTCCAATTTACTAAATAATCTCTTTATCATATAGACTTTCCATATTTTCTTTCTTTTCTTCAATAATAAGTATAAAAAGGATGTTTCCTTACGATATTTGGAAGCATTCTTTTAAGATTTCATTATAAAGTCCATTTTAGTTAAATAAAAGTACACGACCTTCACATATATGTAAAATAAAACAAAAATCGTATTTTTAATCAAACTTAAACTTACATAAAGAAGCTTTTTTTAACTCATAATGGTGTAAAGTTATATTTAATTATAAAAACTTATTTATTTTATCCAAAAAAACCTCAAATTAATTATTTAAAGTATTCTTTAAAGACAATATAGCTATTTTTAGATGCCTTTTTTTCTCTTTTAGTATATTATTATATATATAAAATGCATTATGGGCTTTAATGCCTATATTTTACGAACAATTAGGACAAAAAATATATATTAAATCAAGTTTAGGTATAATTGGATGTATTTCATAGTTAATTAAACCTTATAAAAGATAAAAATTATCTGTTTTTTACTTTAAATAGGCTTTATATGATATTAATAATTTACAACCTCGACATATTAATAAAGTCTAATTTAAAAAATTTTCATTTAAATATTATTAGTTTATAGTAAAATTTTCTTTTATATTAAAAAGGAAAAATTTTAGTTCATTTAAAAAGAAATAAATATATATATTATTTATTTATTTAAGATATTAAAATAAAAATAAAAATGTATTTATCAATATATATATATATATATATATATATATATATATATATATATATATTTATATTATCTTATATATTATATTATTATTTTTTACTTTTTATTTATATAAAAAATTTTATAAATTTAAATATATTGATATGAGCAATAATAATGAAAATATTTTAGATGTATTATTATCTTAAAATGACTATAATAATTATTCATCATCAATAGAGTAATTCTTAGAACAAATAGTATTTCGTTTAAGGAGGCTAGAAGATAGAATATATAATGTCGAATCGTTATTTAAATAATAAACAAAGGCCAAATAACAATAAACTGACGAAATAAATTAATTAGAATAACAAATGAAAGATTATATTGACTAAAACATCCAAAAATATATACAAATAAGTAAAAAAACAGACGAAGAAGACCGTATATATGGTGTATTTACATAATTTTAGACAAAAATTTAATATATAGAGCAATATATTCTTAAATACAATGATAAAATATCATTAATTGACGATTTCGAAGCATCAATTAAATAAATAGAGCAAACATAAAATGATTTTTCTAAATATATAAATAAAATATTGAAAATAAAAAATATAATATTAATATTATTCAAGATCTTGATACAAAAATAAAACTATATAAGAAAACATTCTAGAAATAAACAATAAAATATAATTAAATTCTAAGAACATGTATTTTAACTCATAATTATAACGAAGACTGAAAAAAAAATTATATATTCATATATTAATATATATATATAATTTTATATATATATAATATATATATATATATATATTATTTATATTTATATTATATAATATATTATATTATTTCATAAATCTATTTTTTTTTTTTTCTTTATTTATGCCACAATAATTGTTATATCATCACTCTTACCTCCATTAAATTAAATTCCTTATGCCCTAGCTTTTTACGCAAAAGGGGAATCATATTCTTCATTTAATGATAATTCGAAAGATGTTTCAGCAATAACATTAGCCAATCTTTTCAATGAATGAGAGTATTTTGTGACTAATTTACCTATTTATTCAGAATTTAAATTATCGAATACTCCATCTGATCCTATTATTAAAATATCATCTTCTTAAAAATCATGTTCGAATTCTAAACTATCCTCAGGCAAATTTCCACCTTCATGTATTCCAAGCTTTTATTTATATGTACACAAATAAACAATATAAGTAAATAAGTATATAATATATATATAATTTTTTTTTTTTTATAAATATATATATAAATATATATATATATATATATATATTATATATATTTATATACATTTATTTATACTTATATTTAATTTTTACTTAATAAGGTTAAATTGAAAGCCTTTTATTACTCTTAGAATTCAAATATTAGCTAAGCGTTTTTATTTTTATCTAAACGGTATAAAAAATAACCAGAATCTCCTATATATGAACTAAAAATTTTATTCTATTCTTCATTTATAGTAATTACAACTAATGTACTAATTATAATATATATATATATATATATATATATATATATATATATATATATATATATATATATATACCTACTACCAGTTATTTATTATACATATGGAAACGTATCAATTATTAGTTATTTGGGATTATTTTAATATTTATTTTTATTTTAATTATGCAATTGAGATAAATGCTTACACAAACCTTTCGAATATAAAGACGAGTCTATACCTTATCTCGCCCATCCTCCTACTCCATCTGCAACAGCTAATAATCTATTTTTATATTATTATTTATATTACTATTTTATTTATTTAAATATATATATATATAAAATAACTTCGAGTTTGCATAGTATGCGTCTTCACCTCCTGTATGTTCTTTTTCGGGCATTGGAATGTTTTTAGCGCTATTTTTTTTGTTTTTTATTTGTTTTCGAATTTATATATAAATGTATTTTATTTTGGATTTAAATACTAAAATTCGAAGTAGTTTTGACATAAAATTTATTGGGAAATAATTAATATTAAATAAATATTATTTTTAAAATTTTTTTTAATCATTTTTTATTATTTATTTTCTAAAAAAAAAAAAATTATCTCTAAAATATATATATATATATATTAATATTATTTTACAATTAAAAATAATAATATATAGTTTCATTAATTTTTTAATTTCTTTATATATATTTCTACTAACTTTTATTAGTTTCCAGAATATTATTTTAAAAAAATATCAATTCTTTCTTCTAATAAATGCTTAAATTCGACAAGACAAAATATTACGTTTTTCCTTAAATCTGGATTTTAATCATTTACAGACTTTTTTTAATATAAATATATATATATATATTGATAATATACTTATTATAGAATATCATTTATTTCTTAAAATATTTCAATAGCATCATCCTTTTGTAATTTCTATATTAAAATAGATATTTTTTTTATATAAATTTATAATAAAGGTGGTTTTTAAGTCTTAATTAATTATATTAAACATTAAAGTATTATATTTTAAGGAACACAGTTAATCATATTATCAATAATTTCGTCAAATTAATAAAAATCCTAAATTTTAAATAAGAATGCAATTATATATAATTATTTATATATATATATATAATATATATATATATATTTATAATTACATCATTCTAAATTTTTGAATAAAGTAATAAAAAATTATATATTATATTTTATTTAATATTTGTATAGAAATTTCCTGTTTAAAATAATAATTATGATATTTTTATCAATACTTCTTTGGAATCTATTGAATTTTCTATAAAATAAGAAATCAATTCTTATAATATTAAGTTAATTATATTTTATATTAAAATTTTATTATTTAAATAATTTATAATTACAAAATTATACAAATCTTTTATAGTATTTTGTTACAATAATATATTTTTATTTGAAATATATAATTATTCTTATTATTATTATTATTATTATTATTATTATTATTATTATTATTATTTCTAATATTATATTTATTAATTTATCTCTATTTTTTCGTTTTGTAAAATATTTTATGTATCTTCTTAATTAATATTTTTTAATGCATTTATTATTTAAAAGCATAAATCTATTATTTATTGATTAACCATATTAGTATTTAATTACATAATAATTACATTTAATATTTATTTAATATATTCTTTATTTTTTTATATAAACTAACTATTTTTTTCTATAATTATTAAAATTACTTCTAATACGCATATTTTTGGTATATTTTTGTTTATTTTTTCCACACATTTTAAAATAGGTAAAATAAGTTTTTATTAGTAATTTTCTGATATTAAAAAAATAAAATTATTCGCTTTTTATGATACTATATCTTCTCCATCTATCAAATTATGTATTAATCTATAAATTATTTTTTCTAGATTTTACTCTATAATTTATAAAAAGCACATTTTATTAATTAAAATAATAAAACAGTCTAAACAACTGCTAATAACCTAAAAATTATTTTCCTAAAGATTTTCAACTAGTATTTGAATAACTGTATTTTATATATTTAATTATATGTTTTATATAGATTTTTCAGTATTTTTTTCTAATAAATTTCTTAAAATATCTAATTAATAACTTATATTATTATTCTCATTTAATTAAATTTTTTCAATTAAAAAATCAAATTCTTACTCTAAATTATTAAAAGAATCATTTTTCGTCAAATTTATTTATTTATTTGTCTCTAAAAGAATGCTTTTTTGATATTATTATTAATTAAAGCTAATTTTGTGCTTATTATTTTATATTTTAGGCGAATTTCTTTATTTTTTAGGTGTATTTTCAAGCATTTTTTTCATTTAGATTTGATTTTCATTATTATTATTAAAATTTGAGCTTACTTTTAAAGACTAAGCTCTTTTTTTTTATACTTAATTTGTTTATTATAAATATTAGAATTATTTTTTTATAAATTAAATTCTATCTTATACAAATTTCTTTATAGACTGATCTAAACTTTCGTATATTTTTTCCCCTTTTTAAGGAAAGTTTTAAAAAAATAAAAAAAAAATTTCCCTAAAATTTTAACGAACTTCTTAATTCGGATCTTGAATATATTTCTTTATATAACTTATCAATTATTACATATATTTTTCAATTTGACTTTTACACATATGATGTGTTAGTATATATAATAAATATTAGCTTATTTTTTAACGAACAAATATATTTTTAGATTACAATTAATCAATTAATTAGTTAAAATATATATAGGAAGGTGTATGTTTTAATATAATTTAAATACAAAAATTTGAGTTTTCGGCTATTATTTTATTCCCGGAATTTATAGTATTTAAAAGACTTTCTTTTGATATAAATTTATAAGCCATTCCCTATAATATAATTTATATTTTTTATATATATATATATATATATATATATATATATATATATTTATAACTACTTCAAATTTATTTTTTAAAATTTCAGAAGATATTTCTATTAATCTACATGCTTCTTTTTATATTGATGAACGTTAATCTTTTAACTATATATATATGGATGTATATTAGAAACTTTTTTTTACTTATGCATTTATTAAAGAGAATAATATTGGATAATTCTAAATAAAATAATCATTATTAGAATATGTTATTATAGATTGTTAGAGTTATTTAATACCTTGTAATCTTTTATGCCAACTTTCTTAGTTTTCTAGTAATTCTTAAATTTATATTAATTATTTGTTAATAATATCTTACATTTATATATATATATATATATATATATTTATTTTCTAAAAAAATTTATGAATTTAGTTAATGTGTTTATATTATTAAATATAAAATATATTTAAATTATAAATTTGTTTTAAAAAATATTAATTATATTTGAAAAAAAAATTATTCATATTATTTCATTAAATAAGAAATTAATGTATAAAGCAAATATATAAAATTGATTATATATATATTTTTAAATATAAATATATATATATATATATATATTATTTTTTTATTTTTTTTTTTTTTCTTATATCGAAAAATAATTTTATTTTTAATATTTTAATTATTTTATTAATTCAACTATAATTTTTTAATATTTAGCTTCAATTTAATATGTATGGTACCACTTCAAAAGTATTTATTTTTACCAAAAAATATATAAATATTTGTAATACAAATTTTATTTATCCATATTCTTTTGTCTAATATTAATACTTAAATTACTAAATAAAAATAAATAGAAATTAAATTAAAATAAAAGATATATTTTAATAAAAAACATGAAAATATTTACTAAGGCATTTAATTATAATAAAATAAAAAAATTTAAATTTTCCACTATAAAATATCCTTTCAACAATAAAATTGTTGAAATTGACGAAAACGCCTATACTGGTAAAATCGTTTAAATAAAAAATGACATAATACACTTTACTAATTTCCAAAAGAATCTTCTCTCCCCAAAAAGCATAATTTAATCCGAAGATGGAACTACTAAAGGCCTAGTTTTGACTTTAAACGAAAAAATATCAACTGCATTACTATTATCTGAAAGTGAATTAGAAAACGAAGAAATCCCAGTAAAATTATTAAATACAAGTGGTTTATAAATAGCATTTAATTCCATTTAAAAATTCGGCAAAATAATAGATTTCTAAGGCAATTTAATAAACGAAAAAGAACAACAAATAGAAAATTAAGAAAGCGATATTTAATATAGTATTTTTGATTTAAAACCTCTAATTGGATAAACTAGAATATCTTCCTAATATTAAATATATACTGGAAATATATAAGTTGATATGTCCCAAAAAGCCATATCTTAAGGTAATTTTGTGATATTAAAAGGCCGAAAAAACACTGGAAAATCTCATTTTTGTATCGAAACTGCAAAATAGAATTTCCAATATAACAAAAACACTTTTTGTGTATTTTTTACATCCGACAAGTCTAATTTAGCCCAAAAAATATTCGAAAATCTAAAGGAATTTCCAGAAAATTTCGTTGTTTTTTCATTATAAAATGAAGCAAAAAACTCCAGTTTTTTAACCGCTTTTAGTGCCTGTTCTTTGGCCAAAAAAATGCAATAAGAACAAGGAAAAGACATAATTTTTTTCCTAGATGATTATCTATAGCATTTATAATATGAAAAAGCCATTAATAAAGAAACACTTGGAGGAGCAAGGAATATTATTAAAGATATTCATAGTCTATGTGGTAGTTTTGGTCTTGGAAACGGTAGTTTTACCTCATTTTTAGTCTTCGATGAGGATGAAAATACTACGGAATTGAAGGAAAGCGAGAGTTATGCCGATTAGATTATTAACTTTGATTTAAATGAGGGTGTTTGGAGGAATATTAAGCCGAAAATTTAATTAAGAAGTTCTGGTTTTTACGTAAAATAGCCTTGGATGAATGATTTATTTGCCGATTTATCAAAAAAACTGAACTAGGTGATAAAAGAGGTTCAAATTTAGAAAAATCAATACGAAAAATATGAAAAACTGAAAATTCATATAGAACCATGGGATTTTTACCTTTTAAAAGACTCATAATACTTCATGTAAATACTTGTTAGTTTAAATTATTTTTCTCCAGTCTAATAATATGTCCTTGTAGGGATTTTACTTGAAAGTATAAAAAATGAAAGTGTTTCGTAATTTAAGGAAAATCCATAATAATTTGTGAAATCTTTATTTAATTTTATATAAGATTTTAAATAATTTAACAATGAAAGAAATATATTTGAATATGTAAATGATATTATATAGCATTCATAAAATAGAATAAATGATAATACTATATAAGAAATGTAAGATTCTATAAAAAGAGTATATGAATTATTTATATTACATTTAAAAATGAATGATAAATTGCATTCTTTTAAAAAAGACTATTTTAATTGATATTTTTTTATGTATTATTTATGTTTTTGTCTAGGGGCAAAAAAAATAAAAAATAAAAATATACATATAAATATATATATATATATATTTATATATTTATATATTTATATATTTATATATTTATATATATATAATAACAATATTAATAACTATTTATATTTATATTTTTTTTTTTTTAAATTTATAAATATATACATATATAATAATCGTTATATATATACATTTAAAAATGTATGATTACGAAATTTAAGAAGAACCTATAATATTAATAAATAAACCAAAAAGTTCTAATTGTGTATAGTTTCTATAATTAAGGGAATCTTCTTCAATTATGTCCGAAAACACTCTCAATATTGAAAAAGATTATCAAAGTTTAACTGAATAAAAAAACTCCATTTAGCATTTTTAGTTTTATTAAGGGTAGATTTTACCTTAAAATTTAGAACTTTTTGCTATTTTAAATGACGTATTTTAAGATAATTTATCTTCTGAAAAAATAAAAAAGAGAGATTTTTATTAAAGTTTAGAAGAAAAAGTTACATAAATAAGGCAAAATTTACAATCGAAAAATAAAAAATTAACTTTTGTTTAAAATTTGCTCCAAAACTTTTAATAAAAAATTACTTTTTTAAATATAGAAAACTATTAAAATTTAATAAACAAAGAAATCTGTAAAAAGGCTAGTTTTTTTTAAGAAAAATACCATTTAATTACATTATAACTTCAAAATGTTTTTCAAAAAATTAAAAATATGTAAAACGAATGCCAAAATATTTTAAAAATCATCCTTTTTTCCACAAAACAATACTAAAAAGTAAAAAAAGCTTAAAATTTTGAAGAATTATCAACTTCCTATTTAAACGAATTAACTTAAATATACGAATAATATAAAAAATACTCGAAAATAGATAATTAAAGTGATTTTTTTCATAAATAAGTCCAAAATTTATTTGATTTTATTAACAATACATAAAATATAGACTTAGATGATTTATTTAATTACTCTCTTTCTTAAATAGGGGATTAATTTTCAATTGAAATTGAAGTTTTAGACTAAAAAATGAATAATTTTTTAAATGTAAAAATGTAAATAGAAAAAGAATTTGAATAAATAAACTAACTTATATATATAAAAAATAAAATAAAAATTGACTTTTTAGAAATTCAGAATTTTTTGGATGATTTTTTCATAAATAATACAAAAAAATTACCACAAATACAAGAAAAAATCCATAT